TTCCGGCCGCTGCTGAAACTGACCAGCAGCGGCTCAATCAGGGACGCCTGGGGCAGAGCCGGACTATCGAAAGGGGGGGGCTATGAGGGGGCTGGGGCCAGACCCCTCATAGCCCCCCTTCCAATAGTCTGGCATATCTGATAATCCGGCACCCCTGGGTCCTAAAGGTGCCGGATTATCGGAAGTTTACTGTAGTCTAGTAGCACCTTAAAGACTAACAAAACACGTAGAAGGTATCTTAAGCTTCCATGGGCACAACTTACTTCCAACACTCCTGTCATCTGAAATGGGCTGTGCCCACAAAAGCTCATGATACGATCTACATGTTTTGTTAACCTTTAAGATGCTACTAGACTATTTGTTGTTTAGTTTTTTCCGTTACAGACTAAATCAGCTACCCCTCTAAAGCTGGGGAAATATGCAGATTACATTTAATCTAGTTTTAAAAAGCTAAAGAATTAGAATGGCAGCACTGATCAACCCAAGGAGCAGGTAAGGCGCACGCAATTACACTCCAAACTTTTGATCAACAAAGCATTACAGATCACCACCTGGAGGGCTCAGTCTTTCCAAGCTACTTAAACTGAGCTTTTGTTTCAGAAATGACAGATTTTGGCCAATGAACAACAGAAGAGATTAATTTAAAATCAACAGTCCTGGAAGCAATCACATACACACTTGTTCAGATAATGGGAAACACAACAGAGACTTCAATTAACCTGATTGGATACACTAGCTAGGGTATGTCTACACTCACAGCTTCTTGCTTGAGTAATATGCAAATGAGGCTATGCGTGGAATATTGCTGAGCCTCATTTGCATACCTAATGAGCCACCATTTTTTCAAAGGAGCGTCTACACTGCCCCTTGTGCAAGAAAAACCCTCTTGTGCAATGCTGTTACACCTATTACTTGAGAGGAAGAACGGCATTGCACAAGAGGGTTTTTCTTGCACAAGGGGCAGTGTAGACGCTCCTTCTTGCGCAAGAGCCTCTTCTGAAAAAAATGGTGGCTCATTAGGTATGCAAATGAGGCTCCGTGATATTCCATGTTTAGCCTCATTTGCATATTACTCACGCAAGAAGCCACAAGTGTAGACATAGCCTAGGTGATGCATAGCTGGTTGCAAAAAGCTTCTCCCGTACAGAGGTGCAGTAGACAGGCTGAAAGGGGACCTGTCACCATACACAATATTATATTTCAGAAAGTTCCATCCAAAGAGTTCAAATGTGAACTGCTTTCAAACAGCTTTGCTGCAGGGGAAAACATTTTCTTTGAAATTAGCATAGTGTTGGAAGCCAGCTTTTTTACACTCAATATTAAAAATTACACTATGATTAAAGCTTGTTACACAAAGTGCTCTGTCACATTTGATACAGGTTTTCCCAGTATTTTAGTCATCTTAATCTTCTGGGGTTTAGTGGTCTACTGATGACCTATTGTGAGACTGAGTTTATATATTAATTAAATTATTCGAAGTGTTAAGAAAAAAGACACTTCTAACATTAGGTTAATATAGCTTTTAAAAAGGTTGACATTTTCACATCTCAGACTGAAAAAATGGAAGTCACTGGTCTTAGTTTCACTTGTCTACTCATTTTCAGATTCAGTGTTGCAACGTGCATGTTGCAAATAAGGAGATTTACATATTTAGTAGTATTGCCATAATACTTGTGTCTCCCTTCCTTCTTTCTACTGCCTATGTACACTATCTAGACAACTTTTAAAAGCTTCCTAGACTACTTGCAATATGTTTGTCTACTGAATCTTAAAGTAGAAAGATTAGAAGCTGTTACATAAGAACGGCCATACTGGGTCAGACGAAAGGTCCTTCTAGCCCAGTATCCTGTCTGCCGACAGTGGCCAGCACCAGGTGCCCCAGAGAGGGTGGACTGAAGACAATGATCAAGCGATTTGTCTTCTGCCATCCCTCTCCAGCCTCTGACAAACAGAGGCCAAGGACACCATTTTATCCCCTGGCTAATAGCCTTTTATGGACCTAACCTCCATGAAATTATCTAGCTTCTCTTTAAACTCTATTATAGTCCTAGCCTTCACAGCCTCCTCTGGCAAGGAGTTCCACAGGTTGACTACACGCTGTGTGAAGAAGAACTTTCTTTTATTAGTTTTAAACCTGCTACCCATTAATTTCATTTGGTGTCCTCTAGTTCTTCTATTATGGGAACTAATAAATAACTTTTCTTTATCAGCCCTCTCCACACCACTCATGATTTTATAGACCTCTATCATATCCCCCCTCAGTCTCCTCTTTTCTAAACTGAAAAGTCCCAGTCTCTTTAGCCTCTCTTCATATGGGACCCGTTCCAAACCCCTAATCATTTTAGTTGCCCTTTTCTGAACCCTTTCCAAGGCCAAAATATCTTTTTTGAGGTGAGGAGACCACATCTGTACACAGTATTCAAGATGTGGGCGTACCATAGTTTTATACAGGGGCAGTAAGATATTCTGGGTCTTATTTTCTATCCCTTTCCTAATAATTCCTAGCATCCTATTTGCCTTTTTGACCGCCGCTGCACTCTGTGTGGAAGTTTTCAGAGAACTGTCCACGATAAATCCAAGATCTTTTCTGATTTGTCGTAGCCAAATTAGCCCCCATCATACTGTACGTATAGTTGGGGTTATTTTTCCCGATGTGCATTACTTTACACTTATCCACATTAAATTTCATTTGCCATTTTGTTGCCCAATCACTCAGTTTGGTGAGATCTTCTTGGAGTCCCTCACAGTCTGATTTTGTTTTGACTATCCTAAACAGTTTTGTATCATCTGCAAGCTTTACTATGTCACTGCTTACCCCTTTCTCCAGATCATTTATGAATAAGTTGAAAAGGATTGGTCCCAGGACTGACCCTTGGGGTACACCACTAGTTACCCCTCTCCAATCTGAAAATTTACCATTTATTCCTACCCTTTGTTTCCTGTCTTTTAACCAGTTCTCAATCCAAGAAAGGAACTTCCCTCTTATCCCATGGCCACTTTTCCTCAATGTTAGCTCAAATAATCTCAGTGAAAACTGAGGGTGCTCAGCAACTCTGATCTATTGATAACAGCAGGCTCTAGATTCAATTCCAAGTGTAACTGGAACAATTTGATAGGCATAAAACTACTTTTCACTTAAAATTTCATCTATTCCATTTCTAGTATGTTTAGAATAAAAGTGTCAGAAAGACAAGATTAAATGCATTTAGTAATATTAGTTGCAGAACAGTCTTTCTTCATTCTAGCAGGCTTTATATCATACATTACTGCAAATTATATTACTTACAAGATTGATTACATTTTATCCTTCTTCCCTTCCTGTCATTCATCACTTTTCAATTTTAAGCAATTCAGGACAGGGACTGTCTTTTTCCAACAATATATAGTAAGTATTACCAAAATACAAACATTTAACTGAAGTTGCTGCACTGAGACATAACTAGGGCTAAATCTGATCAGGTATCTGATAAATAGCTCAAGAAGCAGAAGTTTAATAAGCACTGCCATGAAGAATGACTGAGGACAGAACAGTGAAAGTCATGAGAAAGGCACCAGGCACTAAATAGTATTTGCCTTTTAAAAGATGCAGCATAGTATTTCTAATAAATAAATTAAAGTACATCATCCTTAATGTGCAGTGTTCCTATTACATTTCTTTAGATAGGACATTCTACATAGCAATCTGCTACACATTTTGATCAAAAAAATGCCAACAGCATTTTACATGGGACATTAAAAAATAGTTAGGGTTGTGATTCTTGCCTTTTACCGATTATGCCCAGTTTCCCTTTGCAGCAGTATCTATGTTCTCCATTAGACTAGTAATTTGCTGGCTTCCTTTATTAAGGTGTTTGTATGCTTGTTGTGCCACAATATTTAATGAATATCCTCTATTGGCAGTTAGGAGTCCAGATGGAGCCTTCACTGAAGGAACTGATTATAGTGGGTAACCATGCATAACTCTGCTCCCAATTGTTAGGCCAATATCCATCCACCTTTAGATAATTCTGCTGCCAAGACTATCTGAGCTGCCTCAGGAATATTTTCATGCATCAGAGGACTGATCTACACTGAAGTTATACTCCTGGGGGAAATCTGCAGAATTTGTAACTTTCTGCTGCAGATTGTCAAAACATGTAAGATAGTCCCACTGATTTTAACCATTTTGATCATCTTCTTAAGCTACCGGGAAATAGATGGAGAATGAGTGGGCAGCATTGGAAGAAATCCCCAAGTGCAGACAACTAACATTAATGTAATTACATCTGATCTTTTGTTTCTACTTAGTTCAAAAATATGCAGCCACGTGGCCAGTCTCACATGACAGACAGCTGACTAGTGAGAGCTGAGGAATCAAGCACACAATTTATATTGGCAACTGACCATCTCCAGAAAGGAGTAGCAGTACAGTTAATGGAACACATTTTGATGGGAAAATTCCATAATGTCCTTTACAGTACTTTGTCAATGTAAAGGTGCCTCAAAGCTTTTAGACCTGTTTTATAATCTTGTGGGAATTTAGAAAAAACAGTGGGAACAATTCACTAAGTAGCTGCTATATCCTGCTCTGCCTGAGGGGACAGTGCCTGCCCCATGCCTTCCTCCTCAAACACCCCACTGGGATTCATCAACTTCAGCCTCATCTTCAATGTGTTTGAAACTTTCATGTTACCTTCCATAAAATGCTAAGAGACAAGACAAGCAAGCAAACTCACCAGCTGGTCCTGATTGAGGGTTTCTCCCTTCTTCAGGCGATCCCTGTAATCTTCAAGTTTGAGCTGTGGGGAAAAAAAGATTCTCAAGCTGTTATATACACTGATTATGCATTAGGAATATGAAAGGTTAACTAGTAAGCTTACTAGTTCAGGTTAACCAGTGGGGACTACATCAACTCCCTGCCCACAGTAGCAGCCCTGGCTCCAGCTCTGCAAGGCTTGCCACAGACAGGGGCTGCTCTGAGCATCCAGAGCAGTCCCTGCCTGCAGCAGCTTGGGCACATTACAGGTAGGGGTGCTGCTTCCGATGCCTGAGCTGCCCCTGTCTATGGCATGTCCAGGCAGGGGCCACAAGTAGAGGCTGCTCTGGTCAGGCTGAAGAAGCCCTTGCCTGCAATGGGGGGCTGCTCCAGCCGGACTGCCATGCAAAGGAGGAGCTGGTCTGAAGCACCCCCACACTAACTGGTTAACCTGTTAAATTTCATGTTTAACAGGTTAATTAAATTGGATTTTACATTATTATGCATACATCATGGAAACAGAAATTCAGCTCTTCCATATATATCCTGGGTGTAAGCTGACATGCTGCAGCTAAACATAACTTCACTGGTTCTGTATATATTCCCCATTCAATTTAAGCTTTTCAAAACACTGCACAACTCTGCCTAGCTTTAAGGCCATTACTACCTGTTTTATGCCCCCTATCTGCCCCTCTTATCTTGCTGCCTCCTTGGTCTCACTTGCACTGTCATGTCATAGTGCTTTCTAAGCCTTTAACTAGCTTCCCTTATCTGTAACATAGGTGCCCCAACTTGTTCAGATCCCTCTTTTATAGGCATCACTTGACTTGCTCTCCATATCTGAACTATGCTCCACTGTAGAAACGCACAAAAATGGTTTGTTACAGTTAACCTCTTCACCACTACACATCAGCTTCCAGCTGTCAACCCCACTTCTGAGGGGTCAACTGCTTCCCTGTGCTTCGGGCTCTAATTCTGCAGAGCCTGCTGTGTGGGGCAGCAACTAGAGCCAGTGCATGCCATGAGCCAGCTTATACAGTAGACAGCCTCCCAGCCCCACTCCTGGGATGCTGGCTGCCCTGTGGGCTCTGCAGCACAAGTCTTATACTATAGAACCTGCAGCACATGTACATACTAGGATTTTTAATCGTTACAGTAAACGTTTTTTAAATCCCTACTCCATTGGAAGCTCCTATTCCAGCTACCTTATTCTCAGACAAAAAACCACAGATCCTTCAAGGTTCTACATGCAGTATATTTAGAATTTTTTTTTAATCTCTTCATCTTGTCCTTTACCGTCTGATTCTAATTTAAACAGGGTATGTAGCCATATTTAGTGCAACAACTACATAAAAGCTACAAAAGCTCCTTTGTTGAAGAGCCTTCATACATACATGCAGTTTAATCAACTGTGAAACTTATGTAAACGTAAAATTTGTACAAGACAAGAAATTTAATTCCATTAACCATGGTAATGAATATCACCCCTTGAAGGTACACAGCCAAGTAAAATATTACTCATATAATGATACTGTGCACATAAGCAGAGGATACACTCTTCTCTAGCTGAACTATTTGAATATTAATGTATACAGCTTCCTGCTTCACTGAGGCGCCCTACTGTAATTCACACGTAAGGGAAAAGACAAGGATACAAGGGAAATACTAAGCCTAAATGTATTTATTTGTGCAGATGGACTACCACTGGAATGCAGTGTGCAGAACTGCTTTAAAGAAATTGAAGCTACTGGAGGAAACGGTCCACAAGAAGGAAAGTTAACAACCTAGTGCCCAACATGTGAGCTATGAATCTCTGCCTGAGGAAAAAGTTTGAAGTTATGAAAACATGAAAAGTTTGAACTCTGGCACTAAAAAAAAAAAAAAGATTTTCAATTAACTTGGAATATACACCATCTTCACTGATCACAAAGATTCTTGCCAAGGATTTGAAAATTATGTGAAAATGGCTTGTGAAGGCAACATTTCAGTCATGAAGCTAGGAAATTAGTCAGACATCTTATATTAGGAATGCAGACATCAATTACACAAGACAAAAAAAACACCTTCAAAAGAACAGCTCTTTTACAGACTGCTAGGCTTCTTACTAGAGCTTTTTAAATTACTTAAAATCCAAACGACAAAGATGAAAAACAGAATTGCTGCAAAATTCTACATGCTTGTGATGTCCAAGCCTCAGTCTATAAAAAGTGATGGGGAATACATATTTAATGACCTTGCACTTATGACTCAGAGGAAGCAATTTTATTAATCTGTACTTTTACCATGCATCACTGGATCTTACATCATATGCATGTTATCAATACAAGTAGAATGCAAAGTTTTGCACAAATATGACTGAGTTAGATTTTAACTAACCTGTAATTTTTTGTAAATCTAGTTCAACCCATTAAAGGAGTATTCTCTTGCACGCTATTCAAGCTTTGAAAACTACAGCAGCTATAGAGCAAAACCTCAAAAAGCAGATGGCTTAGAGTTGATTTATCTAGCCATTTACATACATTTACTCTTATATGAGACAGTAACTTTACCAACATATGCAATTTTAAACAACATACACCCAAGTCCCTCTATTCAAAGATATCTAAACAAGCCAAAATGTACAAAAATGACCAGTGCTATATTACTCTGAGGACATCCCAAACAGAGGACGACACCTTATTGAGAGCTACTGCTGAATATGAGCTGCTTTTATTGATCATTTTATACTAGCTGCAGCAAACCCATTAGATTATATACTCTGCAGGCAATATAACAGTCTTATAGCAGGATTTAAAGTTTATTATTGATGAACTGTAACTTGAACTTCATATTTAAGTAACAATTTTTTCAGTATAGCAAAGAAATAAGTTACCTTCTTTTTTTCAATGTTCCTAATCTTGTGTTTGAGGCAGATAAGTCCATTATCAATGTAAGTCTCATATGCCTGGGAAGGAGCGGCAGCAGAGTTCAGAGCAGACTGCAGGGGACTCAGGGGAGGCTGGTTCTCCCCAGGTTGACCAGAGGTCACCTGTGGCTTCACTGGCTTCATACTCCTGTCCTCCCCCCCTTCTGAGTGACCTGAAGGCGATGGGCAACGGAAAGGGGATTGGGAAAGCTGCACCATTGAAACAGATGGACCTGCCAAAAAATGGGTAGTTTAGCTCTTGCCCTTTCTGAGAATTACTGCATTTGCACTGGTAACTATTAAAGGCTTAACACACAAAGACCCCAGACCCATATATAAATCAGCATCTCTCCCCCATTCCCTTGGAACCATCGGAAGCAAGGATAGCAAACCAGAGAAACTTTACATCTCCCCACCCATTCAGATAACAGAAATCCTTCACATAGGCAGTGCAGGGGGATGATTCCAGAAACACAAGTGACCATGTGAAACTAGGCCAGATCCCTGCACTCATCACAGGGGAAAAATCTGCAAGTAAGCAACTGCAGATTCCACTCCCAGCCTCCAACCCCAACATGCATTTAACTGGTGTAACTAAGAATTAAAACTCCTCCCTTCCAACTCCTACTGAAGTGATTTGATGCATTTCTCTCTCCTTACCTTATAAGCAACTCAATAAAACATTTGACTAAAATAACTCACATTTTTAAATCCAACTGATAAGAGGCAAAAAAAGCTGCATAGTCAAAAAACATTTAGCCATAAAGCCAAAGCAGCTGCAACATCCTTGGAAACAATCAGCCCAAGAATATCATTAGGCTGCGATAAAAAAGTGATTTGATGCATTTCTCTCTCCTTACCTTATAAGCAACTCAATAAAACATTTGACTAAAATAACTCACATTTTTAAATCCAACTGATAAGAGGCAAAAAAAGCTGCATAGTCAAAAAACATTTAGCCATAAAGCCAAAGCAGCTGCAACATCCTTGGAAACAATCAGCCCAAGAATATCATTAGGCTGCGATAAAAAAGGGGGAGTGAGAGGGAGTTAACCTTGAAAACAGTAGGCATTTCACAGGAGTCTCGCCCTAACCTCCAGGTCGTTAGTAAAGACCGTCACGCTCATTTTTAACTTTGCCTGTAACCACCCAACCCAGCTCAGTTAGGGAAGGGGACTCCCCCTGGAACCGCAAGCTGAATTTAAGGGAAAAGGGCAGCAGAGCCTCCCGCTCTGCAGGCCAGTCTCAAACCACCTGCACCAGATGTGTTGGGGGGGGAGGGAGAAAAGAGAGAAGAGAAGCATCTATGATTTAGTCCCTCGGCCCCCTCCCGCCATGAGGAGCTACCAAGCTTAGCGGGAAGTTTGCACCTGTGCGTGCTACTGTTGTGAGCGCCTGCCACGACGGGGGAAGGGAGAGGAGAGCTCGGCCCCCTCCCCCATCCCGGGATCACACCCATCACCATCGGGAGGGGAGGCGAGAGGCGCGCTCGGAGGCCGCCGCTGCTCCCAGCCTCCCCCCACCCCGCTGCCACACGGGAAGCGCCACGCAGCCCGGCCCGGGAAGCGGGGCGCCAGGAGCCGCTGCAGGACGCCTCGCCGCATCCCCGGGGCGGGCAGAGCCGAGCTCCGCCACCGCCTCCCTCGCGGCCCCGCCACCCCTAGAGGCAGCTACGCGGGGGGCGGGAGAGAGAAGAGGATGCTGCAGCCGCCGCCCGCCATCCCCACCCATAGCGCCAGGCACCGGCCGCTGCAGCTGGCTCCAGGATTCAGCGCCGCCGCCGCCTGAGTCCGCTGCTGCCACCGCGGGGCTGAGGAGACAGCTGCGGCGGGACCGGCCCCAGCCCCACAACGCCGCCCTCCTCCCTCGCCTCGCCCCGCCCCTCACCTCACTAGCCGAACGGGCTCAGGCCCGCCCTGCCGCCCGCCTACCCCCTTATATACCCTCCTCCCGCCGCGCCGGCCGGGAGGGAAGAGAGGGAGGGAAAGGAAAGGGGCGGAGCCTTTATGTGAGGTCACCGCCCGCCTTCCAATCGCTGGCTCCACTCGCCCGCCCATCTGCCCCGCCCCTCCGAACCCCGCCACGCGCCCTCCCCCTCCCCCAGTCAGTGACCGGGGCGAACCGTTATTGGGGGGCGGGGGGAGGTGGATGAGTGGCCCCGCCACCACTGTCATTCGGTCACGTGCCTGTCTTGAGGGGTAGTCAGTGGCTGGGGGGGGGAGGGGCTCTCCAGCCTCTGCTCCCTGCCAGCTGGTGGGCGCTGGCTGTAATGAGCTGGGTGGGTCTCAGCCTGCTGCCCAGTATTGCGCAAAGCAGCGGGCCTGGGCCCTTAGCTGGCTGCAGCCTCAACAGATCACCAAGGTCAGAGGGACTGTGCAGTGCGAAGGGGCCTTTATTTGCAGGGCTCCCCCCACAGGGCAATGAAGTGACAGTTGACTATGGCATGCAAATGGGATGACTGCTGTGTGAGTCCAAGGGGATCCCTCCCTATAGCACAGGCCATGGCGTATACTCCCTAATAGAGGAAATGGGTGGGTCCCTTCTACACAAGTGCAGCCTTTTACAGTGATGGGAAGAGGCACAACCTTCCTCTCTTGAGGGCCTTTGAAGTTGGGATTTTGCCTCATGCCCCTTTTCTAAGGGCATATACATTGCAGCTGTGTCTAGACTGGCACGTTTTTCATCTGATTTTGCGGAAAAACTTGCCAGCTGTCTACACTGGCCCCTTTTCCGAAAGGGGCATGCTAATTTTCAACTTCAGAATAGGGAAATCCCCGCGGGATTTAAATAAAGATGTCTGCCGCTTTTTTCCGGCTTGGGGAAAAGCCGGAAAAAAGCATCTAGACCGGCCCGATCCTCCGGAATAAAGCCCTATTCCGGAGGATCTCTTACTTCAAAGTAGGAATAAGATCCTTCGGAAAAGGGCGCTTTTTCCGGAGGATCGGGGCCAGTGTAGACGCTCTTTAAAAGCCGGAAAAAAGCGGCGGGCATTTTTATTTAAATGCCGCGGGGGATATTTAAATCCCCCGCGGATTTCCCTATTACGATAGCTGAAATTAACATGCCCCTTCCGGAAAAGGGGCCAGTGTAGACGTAGCCTAGATGTCTGATGTAGATGCAGCTAGTTCAATAGAAGAAAGCTCAGGAAGGTGGTATTCCTACCGCAACAGAAAATTTCCTTCCTCGCTATAGGCTACATAAGATTACATGAGCTGAATTTTAAATAAAGGACTAGGCCTTAGACTGAAAACATTTTAGAGTAGAGTTTATCTTTTTACATATGTTTGCACAGAAGTTTGCAGAAGAGGTACAAATCCCTGCAAAGTAAACTTATAAAATTAATTTGCAACTCATACAATAACAAGCAATACAGAGGAAGGTAACTAGGGAATTCCTAGAAATTGTAAGGGTGATGTTGCACCTCATATTCCTTATGGAAATATACTTATGAATATGCTTAACTTGAATGTGGTTTATACAAAATATTGCATGTAACCTATCATTGTAATCCCCTGAATGTGTATATCCTATTTGTAAACGGGTACCATTTTTGTATCTGAAATGAAGAATATAAACTGTAGATTTATTATCAATGTTTTCATGTTGAGAAAAGCCTATCTCCATGCCATGAGGAACAATAAAGAGGTCATACACAGATCTAATCGCCCATTAGCAAGAGACAGTTGAGTTCAGGGAGAACCATCTCCCTGCAAATGTGCTACAAAGGTATTTATGTCCATGTCACCTGAGGCTAGAATCCATCTTGAATTTTGTACTTGTCCAAAGAGATGTAAATGAATAGAACAAAGGCTGCCTGCCCTAGGAAAATATAAGGAAAAGGAAGTAAACAATAAGGCTACGTCTAGACTGGCATGATTTTCCGTAAATGCTTTTAACGGAAAAGTTTTTCCGTTAAAAGCATTTGCGGAAAAGAGCGTCTAGATTGGCATGGATACTTTTCCGCAAAAGTACTTTTTGCGGAAAAGCATCCGTGCCAATCTAGACACGGTTTTGCGCAAGAAAGCCCCGATCGCCATTTTCGCCATCGGGGCTTTTTTGCGCAAAACAATTTTTAGCTGTCTACGCTGGCCCTCTCAGGAAAAAACATTTCCAGAAAAGGGCTTTTGCCCAAACGGGAACGTCAAAGCATTTGCGCAAGAAGCACTGATTTCGGACAGTAGAATGTCAGTGCTTTTGCGCAAAATCAAGCGGCCAGTGTAGACAGCTGGCAAGTTTTTCCGCAAAAGCAACTGCTTTTGTGGAAAAACTTGCCAGTCTAGATGCAGCCTAAGAGTCTTCAGCTGGCTTTACAGACTGACTCCTCACCCTAAAGGGACACATGAAAACACCTGGAAACAAAATGATTCTAAAAATGTGTAGAGAAGAACTGCTGGACCCAGCTCAGAAAGGACACCTCTGACTTGAGAAGGACTTTACCTGAAATAAGAACTAGGGTGAGAAATTATGATTTGTAACAAGTCCTTTTGGTATATTAGCCTTAGTGGATGTGTTTTGTTTTATTATGCTTAGTAAATGACTTTGAGCTGCCTGCTATCACTTACCACTTCAATTCTACTTGTTATCTTCTTACTATGTATTTTTAAAAAGTATGTCTGTCTGTTTGTTCAAGTACTCCTCCTAAACCAGTGGTCTCCACCCTTTTTAAGCAGGAGATCGCTTTTTGAATTAAACTGCAATCCAACATTTACCTGAAAGCCAAACACCCGTGCCCCATCTCCTTCCCGCCCCTTCTCCAAGGCCCTACCCCTGCTCGCTCCATCCTCCTTCCCCCATCCTCACTCACTTTTAACAGGCTGAGGTCAGGGGTTTGGGGTGCACTAGGTGTTCATGTTCAGAATTCATGCTCCAGTTGGGCACCACTTACCACAAGTGGCTTCTGAGTGGTGGTGCAGGGGTAGGTTCACCCCTACCCTGGCCCTGCACCACTCCCAAAAGTCACCAGCAAACTCTCTCCATCCCTGTTCCTCTCTGCTCTGTGGAGATGGAGTACAGGGTGGAGGGAGTGGCACCCTGACATTAGCACCCCCCCTTCCTCTTCTTCCCATGCTCTGCACAGCAAGCAGGAGGCTCCCAGGGGTGAGGGGCACCTCCAAAGAAGAGGACAGGGGCTGCACGGCAATGCTGAGAGGGGTAGATGAAGTGCCAGCACTGGATAACCTCCCAGCCAAACCTCTCAGGATCACCTGTCAAAGGCTCCAATATCTGCCAGTAGATCCCAATCTACTGGTTGGTGACGACTGTTAAACAGTAGCAGCTAGGACCACCAAATGTGGTAAGCAGCTTCCTCTTATAATAATTTTAAAGCAAAGTCAGGGTTTGGTTCTGCCAGGATAATGAGGTCCAATATCTGCCAGTAGATCCCAATCTACTGGTTGGTGACGACTGTTAAACAGTAGCAGCTAGGACCACCAAATGTGGTAAGCAGCTTCCTCTTATAATAATTTTAAAGCAAAGTCAGGGTTTGGTTCTGCCAGGATAATGAGGTGTGCATGGAATGTGATTGTTTTGCATTACATGGAAAGGGAGGGGTCTGACAGCAGTGCATTATGTGCAGAAGGACCAGAGGGGAGCAGCAAGGAGCCAGAGATGGGGACTGGAACTGCTACAGCCCTATTGGACCAGCAGGGGGCAGGATGGAGAAAGGGACAGCTATCTATTATATATTTCAGAGCATTTACTGTCCCTCTGTCTGTGCCGCAACTGGTGGATATGTGCCCATCCCCCCAGCTGTGTCTGCTGCAGCTGCAGTGGCCATGGATAGGCACTTCTCAACTGGCCCCAAGCTGCTGCAGTGAGAGATGGCTG